ACGGCTTCTATGTTTCGGGCCGTAAATCAGAAGGAGCTCGTTCCTTTTGATTCTGCTTTCGTCTGTAATTATAAATCACGGCTTTCAGGAATTCACTGACACCAGGATTCCGAAACAACCATAACTGTCAGTTATGTGTCACAATTGAATGACACTTGCGACGGTAGTTGGAAAAGACGGGTCGACCTATTTTAAGCATTAAATCTCGCAGTCAGCCTTGAAATCATCTTTGTTAAAAGACACCATCGACTCTATAAGTCGGCGTTTGCTGATCAGACTAAAGTCCTCCGAAACGGGTGATTCCGAACGAGGAGGCGTGGAAGTGCAGGAGATAATTGCAGAAGTTAGAGCGTCTCGTTCTGTGGGCTGGGATGGGATACATCTATTTCCTCAACTTCTCCCAGTAGACCCCCCTTATCGAGAGTCGCTAAGGAGTATTGGACATAATGATTCCATTGACAATAAAAGAAGTTGATCTTTTTTGTCCTGGATCCCCTTGATCGCACCAGTCGCCGACATAAAGACTGATTTGACGAAAACGACGAAAACCCTGTGATCTGCTTTCCGAGAAGAACAGGCTACACACAGTCTACATCAACCGCGGAAACGACGCCAGCAAAGCAGTCTTCTTCTAATGTCGACGTCCCTTGGTGAAATAATTCCTGCGGGTGATGCAAAATACCTGGATGAATCGTGGGGTCGAACTGATGTTCGGATACAAGGTCCACAAAGAAATAAAGAACTTCCTTGCGTCAGTCAAAGCGATCTACGATCACCACATCAAAAGAGCCATGCCACTGCTCAGATCTAATGAGAGAACATTCCTCAGGGACAAACCGTAAAGTTTAAGAAGCTGGGTCGAGCACTTCAGAAGCCTCCTCAATCGGCCACCCAAATCTCTGGTGAGGCCATCAACAGGCTCCCTCAAGCGAAACCCAACGCCAACGTCGATTGCTAGTTCTTCCTGAGACACCACCGAAGTTGTTTACCAGATATTCGCCGGCAAACTGCCGGGACTCAACGCAATTCCCTTCAAAGTCTGAAAGTACGGCGATCCTCGACTGATGGACTAGCCTACAGGAAATTTTGCGCCAAGGACAAGTCTTTCAAAACTAAAAAAATGCGATCATGGTCCATAGCTATAAGCGCACGGAGAACCGCCTACTTTCACCATTCAACATTGCAGGGAAAGTCTTCAGCTGCACCCTCCTCAACCGCTAAACACACAAATGAAACAAAGACTTCTCCCGGAAGACCAGTGTGGATTCCGAAGTTGTCGCGGAGCCATTGATATGATATTCGCAGCATACTAACTGCAGGAAAAGTGTCACCTTCTTGGATCCTACGGAGGCCTTCGATGCAGTCAACTGCGAGCAATGCTGGAAAAAAATGCTGAAATTTGGATGCCTGGAGCATTTAGCACAAGCGGTGCGACAACACGACAGAATGATAACTCACATCAAGGACAGTTGAACAGTCTGATAGGCAATTGCAGGGACAGATGGGATGCGACAAGGTTCTTTACTTGCTCCTACTCCATTCAGTTTTATGTTCTCCACCATGCTGATGGAAGCCTACCGTGAGAAGCGACCACGCATCAACATCGATTAACGAACCAATGGAAAACTGTTCAACATCTGACGCATGAAATTGCGTACGACAGTATCCAAGTTTAATAACCGCTAGCCCTGTGCTCGCCGATGACTGCGCGCTCAGCATTAAGACGAAGGCGGACAAACGAAGAAGCATGGACTCCTCAGTCTCCGGCCGCTCAACCTTCGGACCGAGCATCAAGATGGAAAACACGGTGGTAATGTACCAATCGATGTCTAATGCCAACAATAATAAATCTCGCATACAATCAACTCAGCTCACAACACGGGAAAAATTTGCGTACCACAGAAATCACATTCAAAGGATTGTCAAGATCCACGACGAACTTCGATGGAGCGGTCATGTCGTGCGGATGGACGATGAGCACCTACCTAAGTAATTCTTATACAGCGACGTCGCTGTGGCTGATGGCCGAGTAGGTCAAAAACCACATTACAAGGACACCCTCTGGTCTTCCCTCAAGCACCTACAAATCAGCCCGGAGACCTTGAATGACTTCGCTTAGGATCAGCAGGTCTGGAGTAACATTGTGAAAAATGGAGAATCCGTATTCGGTGCCGACCGGTTAGTCGCTGTCAAGACAAAGAGAGTGGCTCGCAAGTCTTAGGGGTCATGAACCATCAACTGCTGAATCCGCCGTTCTCATCGTGCCCACATTGCCAACGGATATTCCATACACGAATTCACCTCTTCGAACATCCCCGAACCCAATACAATGCCGACTCAGCAACTGCCCATCCCGTCTCAGAAAACGCTTACTTCTCCTCCTCCTCCTCCTCCTCCTCCTCCTCCTCCTCCTCCTTATTTCTCCCTCCTCTTTCTCTCCTCCACCGCCACCATCACTACCACTACTACTACTACTACTACTACTACTACTACTACTACTACTACTACTACTGACAGTTTGACCGTCGTGACCAACGATGTCTACTGGGTTTACCACGGCAGGGTAAGGGCGGACAAGGTAACTTGTACGTGGATTAGTTTGTAGTGACTGTTGACTTGTGCTGCATCTAACACACCTCCTCCTCCTTCACCGGGGTCCGTTGTCAAGATATACCCAAGAAGACTAAGGACGGGAGGGGGACGCAAGTGGCTGACGCCGCCGGAACTG